GCGCCCAGACAGGGTGCTATTTGGGGCCCCGGGCCTCCCGTGTTCGGTTTGGTGCCTACGTTTGTTTAAGTGAGTTCAAAAGACTATGAATAAAGTGGGGTACTATAGTCGTTTATTAAGCTGAAACAGGCGATTCCGCCCCGGGCTAGACTATGAGCACTTTGCGTTTATGTTCACGTTAGTGTTTTCTTTGTGTTTAGGTTGGGTTTGCGTTAGTGGTTGCGTTTTGATTTGGTTCGTTTTTGTTCTTTCTTTTTTCGTTTGTGTTTTTTTCTTTGGGTTTGTATTTGTGTTTGTGGTTGGTTTTGCGTTTGGATTTGGTTTGTTTTCGTTTGCTTTTTCATTTGTTTTTTTCTTTGGGTTTGTGTTTGTGGTTGGTTTTGCGTTTGGATTTGGTTTGTTTTCGTTTGCTTTTTCTTTTTTTTTTCTTTGTGTTCGTATTGGTGTTTGTGTTTGTGGTTGGGTTTGTTGTTAGGTTTTTGTTTTCGTTTGCTTTTTTGTTTGTTTTTTCTTTGTGTTTGTATTGGTGTTTGTGGTTGGGTTTGTTGTTAGGTTTTTGTTTTCGTTTGTATTTGTAATTGTGTTAGCGTTATGTTTGCGTTTTGTTGTTTTCGTTTTGGTTGGTTGTGGTTTGGGTGGGCAATGCCGGGTTTATGATGATTAATAAACACACAGGTAATGGTCTTTAACAGAAAGGTTTTTCACAGAAGCCAGAGCAGGGCCTGGCCGGGACGGCTAGTATATATATATATATATATATATATATATATATATATATATATATATATATATATATATATATATATATATATATATATATATATATATATATATATATATATATATATATATATATATATATATATATATATATATATATATATATATATATATATATATATATATATATATATATATATATATATATATATATATATATATATATATATATATATATATATATATATATATATATATATATATATATATATATATATATATATATATATCTTATAATAATGTTGAGAGTTTGTGTAGTTTAATCGGAAATCAATCATCACTAATAGAACTAGCCTTAAGAATTACACACAAAAAACATACAATTAAAACTCGTTTCGTAATTTATCTGGATAGCAATTTATTTTGTACTCAGTTCTGTTTGTCTGTTTAAGGATATCGGCTTCTTAACTCGTAGAAATCAGAGTTTCTTTCAGGCATCTCTTCGGGGTGGCTCCGGCCCCCCGAAGAAAGTCTATCGCCCCCTTCCCCCTACCTAAATGGATTTTATATAGTAAACATACACTTTTACTAGTGTCCACCCCCCCCCCCACCGAATGTTGACCGCCCCCCCCCCCCTGAAAATTTTAAGTGCTTTCCCCCCCCCCCCCCCCCCCCCCGGCAGAAAAAAGTCTGGAAGAAACACTGGTAAAGATCAACCAATCAAATCCCGTTCATGTCTAAAGATCAACCAATCAAATACCGTTCATGTCTAAAGATCAACCAATCAAATACCGTTTAAACTTTCCTTTGATCTCGGCCATGGTTATAGATGTCCCTCTCAGTGACGGCCATGTTGGGTCTGACGTCATGGCTATTTCTGGATGATTGAAACATCACTTGGTTGTACACTAATCAATATAATGCTAAGGAAGTCAAAATATAATCTACTTATAGTTAAAAAGGTCAATTATAATAAACAAAACATCGTTAAGTAGGTAAATAAGTCAACACATATGATAACATATCACTAAATAAGTCAACATATATGCTAAACAACACATTGATAATAAGTCAGCATATTTGCTAAACAACACATTGATAAATTAGTCAACATATATTCTAAACAACACATTGATAATAAGTCAGCATAAATGCTAAACAACACATTGATAAATAAGTCAACACATACTCTAAACAACACATCACTAAATAAGTCAACATATATGCTAAACACATCACTTACAACGTCAAATTATAATAACACATCACTAAATATGCCGGTAATTTAATAAACGTTTTCACGGCGAAAGATTATTTACACTTAAAAAACGAATTGAAATTAATATCTTGGCGCAGGTACCCAGATAAACCCGCTGAGAACCCCATAGAGTCAATGGTGTGTCAATGTTTGTTTATAGAGTCAATAGTGTGTCAATGTTTGTTTACATTCACCTCGCGACACCGAGAGAAATCCATAACTGATAGGGCGTTTTCACATTTTAACTACTGAAAACATTAAAATAAAAAATTCGTCTAAGCTGTGGAAAATCACCACAAAATCACATAATCACCATTTTATAATTTGCTTTATTTACAATGTACGAGATAAAAAATATAACCCCCGCTATGGGAGTGTTCCGGGCTCAGTGGCGGCTCAAGGTCGGATGTCACCCGGTACAGTAACTGATGGTGTCACCCTTACCTATCCAACTATTTCACATTTTAGATTAGATGTCACCCCCTCTCTCTCTACTGTGTTTATTCTTTTTTAACTTCATAAAACATTGTAAATTTTTAATTTTTTAAGTTTTAGTGTCACCTACTTTAATAGCGTGCCCCCCCCGTCTTGTGACACTTCTCTCTGGGAAGATGCCATTGCTTAGGCAGAAAACCCCACTCACAGAAAACCCCACTCACCGAAAACCCCACTCACCGAAAACCCCACTCACCGAAAACCCCACTCTCAGAAAACCCCACTCACCGAAAACCCTACTATCAAAAAACCACATTCACACAAAAAAAACTACTCACGGAAAACCCCCCACTAACAGAAAAACCCACTCACAGAAAAACCCACTTTCAGAAAACTACTCTATCAAAAAACCCCACTCACCGAAAACCCCACTCACCGAAAACCCCACTCACCGAAAACCCCACTCACCGAAAACCCCACTCACCGAAAACCCCACTCACCGAAAACCCCACTCACCGAAAACCCCACTCACAGGAAATCCCACTCACCGAAAACCCCACTCACAGAAAACCCCACTCACAGGAAATCCCACTCACCGAAAACCCCACTCACCGAAAACCCCACTCACCGAAAACCCCACTCACCGAAAACCCCACTCACCGAAAACCCCACTCACCGAAAACCCCACTCACCGAAAACCCCACTCACCGAAAACCCCACTATCAGAAAACCCCACTCACAGAAAACCCCACTCTCAGAAAACCCCACTCTCAGAAAACCCCACTCACCGAAAACCCCACTCACAGAAAACCCCACTCTCAGAAAACCCCACTAACAGAAAACTCCACTATCAGAAAACCCCACTATCAGAAAACCCCACTATCAGAAAACCCCACTCTCAGAAAACCCCACTCACAGAAAACCCCACTATCAAAAAATCACATTCACACAAAAAAAACTACTCACGGAAAACCCCCCACTAACAGAAAACCCTAGTCAAAGAAAATAAATCGCATTTTATAAGAAAACGAAAATATCTGTAATATAGCTCTAATTACATAAACCTATATTCCATTTTCTTTTTAGTGAAAAGACACAATTAGTAATTACCTTTCATTTACTTTTTGACAAGCCCTCCCTTCTTTACGTTTAAAAAGAAAACAACCGAACGCCAGAAATCCACGAGGTAAGTTTTCACTGACTGACCGAAAATAACGACATTCCCATTCTCACCTGGCTCTTCTTGGTACCCATCCCGTTTGTGTAGCTGTATCACATCTGGTTTCTCGATCAGCTTCAGGTAAATGTCCTTAATGTGGTCATCGGGATTGGTGTACAAAGTGTCCCCTTCATTTAAAAAGTCGATTAACTTGATCAAGTTCTGTAAGTACCTACACGAATGGAAATAAGCAGATCCTTATTTTTTAGGTAACTATCGTGTAACAGTCGCTATTATTTGCATCTACAATGTTCCTTAGTTCTAAGGCGTCGGTGTTTTTGAGTTCAGCTCACGTTGTGTATCTTTTCTATAAATTAGAGACATATTTTTTAGGCTTTCTAACTTTACTAATTTTTACTAAAGAAAAGTTTTATTTTGTGAAAAACTCTTGTCAAAAATATGTGACATTGTGACCTAGAGGTAAAGCGCTAGACTGCTAACCCGAGAGTGTCGAGTTCGAATCCGGTGTAAGTAGAACTACCCTGAGGTAACCCAGCTCTGATGTGTAGGCCTACCTAACTCAGGGAAAGTAAAGGAGGCTGAGCATAGTTTTGACCACACTATCCCTTCACAGAAACAGATGAACACTACTTCACTTGCCCCATGGACCAGTTTCGAAAAGGTAACTTTACACGTAAGAAATAGCTTTTGTGTGTTGAAGGCTTTTGTAGTTGTGTGATATGTTACACACCTCAGTTATAACTATTTCAACATCTATGTTATACATTTTTGTTACAAATCTTAGCAACACACCTTTGAATTTCCCCATACCTTTTTCTTCATCTCTGTAAGCCACTCGCTTGAAGTTGTATAAGCTATATATTTCAATACTTTAGAACCAGAGGTATCGCCCCACGCAATGTGTATTTAATGCAACAATATGCTTCTCTCGACTCACCTGCTTGTGAGGACTAAGACAACGATTGTAAAAACGACGAGCAATCTGTGAACGTTTTTTCGTGTGCAGCAAATACATCTCCTGTTGAAGGAAAGGGAAGATCTTTTGCTACTGGTTGTAAATCAATGAGCTATTTAGTGGCTTAACAAGGAAATAGTTAAGGGAGGGGTTCAAATGTATCTCTCTAACACACACACACACACACACATATATATATATATATATATATATATATATATATATATATTTATATATATATATATATATCTATATTTGTGTGTGAAATGTAGTGCCGACGTTTACATTCAAATATCTTGAATCCTAGTCAAAAATTATTTTTTGTTTACATTTGGCATCATTGAATAGCTGACCGTGTAAAATGATAACGCATGCTGATAATTAAACAGCAAGTTACAAATGAAAACAAAAAGGCGAAACACCGGTCATAGTGAATTACTTGACAACGTTACTTGGACTAAATTCCTGAGTCCGCCCTCATGAAATTAAACTCCTGCGTCGCATGAAACTCGTAATTCTACAGCGCTGGTTGTAACTGTATGTCAGAGCTCCAGAAAAGACTACAAATCATTTCGAGTGGCCTACCGCTGGTTTCCTGATACTTGTATCACGTTACAGCTCCGAGACACATCTAACTTGAATACCTTTTACTGTGTGTTTTCACACACCCGTACTCTTAAAAAAGAAGCCACTTACTATGAGATAAAACATAGGTGTAAATCACCCAGTTGCCAGTAAAATGAACTAGCATTTTTTAATAATAAAAAAAAATGTATGGATGTAATCCACCGAATCGCAGTGGACTGGATAACAGAGGATTAGCGACACTTTCCGGCGCCCGGGGACAAACTTTCGATTTGTACCTCCGTCAAACTTTTGATTTGCACCCCCTCCCCTCAAACTTTCGATTTGCACCCCCCTCAAACTTTCAATTTGTTTTTCCAACCCTTTTTGGCGCCCCCTAAGGTCGGCACCCTGGGACATTTGTTCCCTCTCCGCCCACCCTCGCTACGCCTCTGCAGGGTAACAAATATGTTGTTTAGGTAATTGCAAAGAAACTAAGGTTGTGCAATGTTGTATAAGGTTGGGGATTCCATGGGAGAGGTTAAACTATCCCCTAACTCTCTCCCTGCAGGCGCCCCGATAATGCTGCTAATCCCTTAGCTGGTAATGTGATCTCTCCAAGACATAGCCCCTATACTATATCTATACGCTAACCCTAATTTTATTTAGGGCAACTTTCGAAACTAGTTCTGATACAAATATACAGAACTGTAAAATCATCTTGACCGAAATTTAGCCTAGTATATTGAAGGCTGTTTATATGAAATCAATGACGTGTAAAACTTATGTTTACGGAGTTTTTAAAGCTGAATAGTTTTCTTGACGGGATCAGATGGTCAGGTGAAAAACTGGTTGTAGTAGGGTAGGTGTATGGGATTTTGTGAAGAATGTTAGAGTAGTATAGGTGTAACACAGTAGAGGAAGTGTGTGATAGTTGGGGGAGGTGTGTGACAGTAGGAGAGGTGTATGATAGTTGGGAGGTGTGTGATAGTTGGGAATGTATATGATACTTGGGGAGGTGAGTGGTAGTTGGGGAGGTGTGTGTGGTAGAAGAGGTGTGTGTGGTAGGTGAGGTGTGTGTGGTAGGAGAGGTGTGTGGTAGTTGGGGAGGTGTGTGGTAGTTGGTGTGTTGTAGTTGGGGAGGTGTGTGGTAGTAGGAGAGGTGTGTGGTAGTAGGAGAGGTGTGTGGTAGTTGGGGAGGTGTGTGGTAGTTGGTGTGTTGTAGTTGGGGAGGTGTGTGGTAGTTGGGGAGGTGTGTGGTAGTTGGGGAGGTGTGTGGTAGTTGGGGAGGTGTGTGGTAGTTGGGGAGGTGTGTGGTAGTTGGTGTGTTGTAGTTGGGGAGGTGTGTGTGGTAGTTGGGGAGGTGTGTGGTAGTTGGGGAGGTGTGTGGTAGTTGGGGAGGTGTGTGGTAGTTGGGGAGGTGTGTGGTAGTTGGGGAGGTGTGTGGTAGTTGGTGTGTTGTAGTTGGGGAGGTGTGTGTGGTAGTTGGGGAGGTGTGTGGTAGTTGGGGAGGTGTGTGGTAGTTGGGGAGGTGTGTGTGGTAGGAGAGGTGTGTTGTATTTGGGGAGGTGTGTGTGGTAGGAGAGGTGTGTTGTAGTTGGGGAGGTGTGTGTGGTAGGAGAGGTGTGTTGTAGTTGGGGAGGTGTGTGGTAGTTGGGGAGGTGTGTGTGTGGTAGGAGAGGTGTGTAACTTGGGGAAGTGTGTGGTACTTTGGGAGGTGTGTGGTAGTTGGCGAGGTGTGTGGTAGTTGGGGAAGTGTGTGGTACTTTCGGAGGTGTATGATAGTAGGAGAGGTGTGTGGTAGTTGGTGTGTGGTAGTTGGGGAAGTGTGTGGTAGTTGGGGAGGTGTGTGGTAGTTGGTGTGTGGTAGTTGGGGAAGTGTGTGGTAGTTGGAGAGGTGTGTGGTAGTTGGTGTGTGGTAATTGGGGAAGTGTGTGGTAGTTGGGGAGGTGTGTGGTAGTTGGTGTGTGGTAGTTGGGGAAGTGTGTGGTAGTTGGGGAGGTGTGTGGTAGTTGGTGTGTTGTAGTTGGGGAAGTGTGTGGTAGTTGGGGAGGTGTGTGTTACTTGGGGATGTATATGATACTTGGGGAGGTGTTTGACAGTAGTAGAGGTGTGTGATACTTGAGGAGGTGTATGTTAGTTGAAATGATGCGGTTTAGTGGGGATGTGTGTTGCAGTAGAAAATACACTTGGCATTAAGGGATATGAGCCAGTACGTTGGGTGTTTTTAATAAAAATTTAATCAATTAAAGCGAGTTACATGATAAATTGTAAAACATCTTAGAATATTTGGAAACGTAAACATAGTTGGTAAACTATAATTACTAACAAAAATCAATATGAATAAAAATACAGTAATTGATACGCACATACCTTCTACTCATTGTATTGAAAAGTGTGTTGTGTTTTTATTGCTAGTTTTGTATACTTAAACGATATTTTAATCCATTTTCGAGTGATCCAGCTAATCCTCTTATCATACTGAATAACACGCAACTGCCGCTGTAAGCTACACTGTGTGACTCGACCGTCCCATGTTATGTGTGGGGGCCAACTACTTGCCACCTAGTGAACTCCATAGAATTCCTTTATTTGTACAAAGCCTTTCGTTGCGATGTGTGTGAATGTTTGCCTGAGATTGGCTGTATCTCAAACCTCAAATTAGTTCATGCGTGTGACATTTGAACTTCGTGCCTGTGAAATGTGATCGCAGTGTTTTCATTTTTTTTCGTTTACGGATTAATTAGGGAAGTTTAGTAGTCGTGCAAAAAAAAAAAACGAAAACGAAATTTTGACGGAAAAACAAAATCTTTTAAAGTTGTCTTTGGGTGTATCAATTTGTCTTTCCGTTAGTTTTAAAGTATGACGTAAGTGCCGCTTGCGTTAGGTGAACTAATTTCCTGTTTACGTATTTGATCATATTTGTAGCTTTCTTTCAAGTATTGAGTGCTTTCCACCAAACGGGAGTGTTACTTGACTATATTTATGGTTGGTATAAAAAATCGCCAGAATTAGATAAATGTATACCATATTCTCATACAAAGTTATATTCTAAGAATTGACTGGCAGTGTTGAAATATTACAGCTTGTCTTCACATTCACCATCGTGCCAGATATACTCTACTTTACCTGTCTTAATTATCACACAAAGAGCGACCATATAGTCCTTAGTGTTGCTCGTAGTGTGATGTCTCAAAACAGGGTAACTCGTCCACATGGTGCCACCCCTCTACATGGTGTCAACCTCAAGGTAGTGCCACCCCTCTACATGGTGTCAACCTCAAGGTAGTGCCACCCCTCTACATGGTGTCAACCTCAAGGTAGTGCCACCCTCTACATGGTGTCAACCTCAAGGTAGTGCCACCCCTCTAAATGGTTCAACCTGTAGGGCCTTAGTAGCTATGTTCACTACCTGAGGTTCGGGTTTAGCCGTTTTACTTACAGCCTTTTGAAAACATCAATGTTCTGTACGCCTTGTCGAATTATAGTGTGCTGATGATGGGCTGATGGTGGGCTGATGGTGGGCTGATGGTGGGCTGATGGTGGGCTGATGGTGGGCTGATGGTGGGCTGATGGTGGGCTGATGGTGGGCTGATGGTGTGCTGATGGTGGGCTGATGGTGGGCTAATCGTGGGCTGATGGTGGGCTGATCGTGGGCTGATCGTGGGCTGATCGTGGGCTGATGGTGGGCTGATGGTGGGCTGATGGTGGGCTGATGGTGGGCTGATGGTGGGCTAATCGTGGGCTAATCGTAGGCTGATCGTGGGCTGATGGTGGGCTGATCGTGGGCTGATGGTGGGCTGATCGTGGGCTAATCGTGGGCTAATCGTGGGCTGATGGTGGGCTGATGGTGGGCTGATCGTGGGCTGATGGTGGGCTAATCGTGGGCTAATCGTGGGCTAATCGTGGGCTGATGGTGGGCTAATCGTGGGCTAATCGTGGGCTGATGGTGGGCTAATCGTGGGCTAATCGTGGGCTGATGGTGGGCTGATGGTGGGCTGATCGTGGGCTGATGGTGGGCTAATCGTGGGCTAATCGTGGGCTGATGGTGGGCTAATCGTGGGCTAATGGTGGGCTGATCGTGGGCTGATCGTGGGCTGATCGTGTGCTCAGAGTGTACTCAGAGTGTGCTCTGCAATTTATCCGGCAAGAAATGCTTTCTGAATTTGTTCATCAACGACTGGCGGGCGCCAAACGTTGGGGGGGGGGGGGGGCAAGAGATTAATAGAAATTAATAATTAAAGAACTCATTTCGGGCTGCATTGATAAAATAGTTTTTTTTTTGCTTACGGACTGGTTATTTATAGATTATATTTAATACCAGTCAGTCTATAAGTGGTGATACATATTCCTTCACACCGCCCCCCCCCCCCCGAAAATTTTTACCGCCCCCCCCCCCCGAACAATATGAAATTTATATAATTTATATAGAAAATATATACTTTTAACAGTGTCCGCCCATCCGAAAAAGTCTACCGCCCCCCCCCCCCCCCCCCCGAAAATTTCAAGTGCCCCCCGGAGAAAAAAGTCTGGAAGAAACACTGAATGAGTGTTTGGGTGAGGGGAGTTTGGTGGCTTAGGGGGGATGGGTGGACGAGGGGGAAGGGCAGCTCAGTATCGCCTCCTACACACCAATACCAGTTGTTTGGATGAAAGTTTAATCAACAAGAAAATATAAACATAATTTTATTATTTATAATCTTTTAGCAAATTTGTGTCAAACTATGCTTGAGTATAGGTGACTGGTTTAGCGTAGTTATAAAACGAGTATGTGCCCTTGAGTTAGTCAAGATTGTCTAGTGCCAACTTTTGTTTACAGTTACCGTTCTTGCTTACGCTGCTCGCCCCTTAATTCTATCCAAAAAAAAAACCAAACAAATCAGTAATGCAGCACAGAAAAGGGATAAGTATCGAATCTATGGATTGTTTATAACCTCCGCTCTCAAATGCTGCCGAATTAACCTATCTTTAAAGCCTCCATACAGAGGCGTAGCGATGGGGGGGGGGGGGGGGCAGGGGGGTACATATGTCCCATGGGTTGTAAAAACAAATTAAAATGTCTTTTCAGCTGCATTTTTGAAGTTTGAGGGGGGGGGGGTGCAAATCGAAAAGTTGAGGGGGGTGATAATCGAACTTTGTCCCCGGGCGCCGGGAAGGGTCGCTACGCCTCTGCCTCCATAAGCCTATTTTACCAGGTACAACTTCCTAGTACAGTGCAAGCTGTTGCAGTTTGAGATTGTTCAATCAAATAAACAACACATCTAGACTTAGCCAACAATACGCCTTATATAACGTCAGAAACAAACATAAGATAAGCTGCTTTAAATATTCTGTCTAGGTATTCCTAAAAAAGTCACGAACCACCTGCAATTCTTTTAGCTCTAACTCTTGATTTATTAGTGTATTGTTTAATGAACGAAAACAATTAACCATTCAACCCTTACTAAGTAGGTAAAATCCACACACGTTCAATACAACTGTTAAGGAAACAACCATTAACCTGATAGCTTGATTAATACACTAAAAGTTTATTGACCTACAATTCCATGTATAATTTTTTTTTTGCCTTATTAGTAATATTAGAGCAATAAAATGAGCCGAATTACTTTACTATGCACCAGTGTTTCTTCCAGACTTTTTTCTCCGGGGGGGGGGGCACTTAATATTTTCGGGGGGGGGGCGGACAATTGTAAAAGTATATGTTTACTATATAAATTTCATCTCATTGGGGGGGGGGGGGGGGCGGGGGGTCGGTAGACTTTTTTGGGGGGACGTAACACCCCCCCCCCCGAAGAGATGCCTGGAAAATACTCTGCTAAGCGCGTAGACCTATACTCCCCCCCACAACGAAATATGTATACAAAATATATACACTAATAAGTCCACTCCAGACACCCCCTCCCCCAGAAAGTTTCAAGTGCCCCGCCTCCTCCTTTAATCAAGTTTCTGAAACATGCACACACGAAGGGGCTGATTAAAAATGAACAACCAATTTGGTAACCATACATCTTACTTAAGATCAAGGGCAACAACCCAATTATTAAATGTAATCCCTTTTAAGCGCTAATACCCTCCCATTGATTAAATTTCCTAAAATTCGTCACTTATTCATTCACAGGTAAGTAGATTTAAGTTAATGAATCGAGACACCTATTTTTAAAACTTTCACAAAACTTGTATCTGTTACTGTCACCTAGATTGATCTTTGGCCTCAGACGTTCGCAACACAACTTACATATAAAAGACACACAAAACAAAACAAATACGTCAAGTCAAACATTTTTATTCATTCTATTTTGTTTTATGGAATATATTACACTTATAAATATATAAAGAATATATTTATATAATACAAAAGTTGAGGGCAAAAAGCGTAGACATAATTGTTAACATGATTATTTCAATTTTTTATGCAATAAATATGGCACCAAGTATAATTCAAATTAATTTCATACGCTAATGATATTTTTCGCCTAAACGAGTTATTAAAGGTTTAAAAACAAAAAAGCTTGTTTGACTTTGGTTGATGTTATGAAAAAGCTGGTAAAAAATACAAGCGTTCATGCAATGTTTATAATGTTAAAACATTTGTATTTATTTCTCACGACACACAAAATAGAGCTGCTAAAGGATGAAAACATTTGAGTTGACGCCCACCTGTATGGTGGGGTGGGGGAGTGTTTCGTCCAAAGTGGACACGTGTTAACGAGGTGAGGGGCGGTATAACGGTCCAATTTTTAAAGGACGTTATAAATAGATGAATCCCGCCCCAAGAGTTTTGTGTAGTTATTTGTATAGAGATTAAGTTGATTAGTGTAAAAATTAGGGGAAAGGTTTGTGTTTTTATTTGTGTAAACCTGGTGTTGACTTCGTGTAGTTATAGTGGAAACTAGTGAATTGGTTACCTTGGCAACCAGCGTGTAATGGTTATCTAAGCTACAAGTGTATAATGGTTACCTAGGTTACCAATGTGTAATGGTTACCTTGGCTACAAGTGTATAATGGTTACCTAGGGTACCAGTGTGTAATGGTTACCTAGGCAACCAGTGTGTAATGATTAGCAAAGCTACCAGTTAAAAGTAGTGGCTAGTGTGAAGGCCACGAGAGCTGAGATTTGCAAGATTCCACAGAGGCCTGTGGACAATTAAAAAAAAACGAAATCAAAAGTTTCTCAAATAGGAAAAAAAAATCATAATGCTTGATTACTCTTTTATATTTTTGTTTAAACCAGATCCATTTAAAAACCCACCATCACATTCTAATGTCCCGAATTCACACCACTCACACAACTTTACATTCCCTGACATATAACTACCACGTATACTTATTTCAAGTTTTTTTTTTAATTACCGAGTTTTGTCTTGGCTCCCACATTCTTTGATAGAAAAGGCAGTTTGGCGAAATTTTCATCTGAAATAAATAATTATCTAAATTAAATATACATAAGGAATTAACAACATATAGAAATGAGTAATGCCACACACACACCTTCGTAAAGCCACACACACACACACCTTCGTAAAGCCACCACACACACCTTCCTAAAGCCACACACACAAACCTTCGTAAAGCCACACACACACACCTTCCTAAAGCCACACACACACACCTTCCTAAAGCCACACACACAAACCTTCGTAAAGCCACACACACACACCTTCCTAAAGCCACACACACACACACCTACGTAAAACCACACACACACACACACCTTCCTAAAGCCACACACACAAACCTTCGTAAAGCCACACACACACACACCTTCGTAAAGCCACACACACACACACCTTCGTAAAGACACCACACACACCTTCCTAAAGCCACACATACACACACCTTCCTAAAGCCACACACACACCTTCCTAAAGCCACACACACACACACCTTCGTAAAGCCACCACACACACCTTCCTAAAGCCACACACACACACCTTAGTAAAGCACACACCTTCCTAAAGCCACACACACACCTTCGTAAAGCCACACACACACACCTTCGTAAAGCCACACACACACACCTTCGTAAAGCCACACACACACACCTTCGTAAAGCCACCACACACACCTTCCTAAAGCCACACATACACACACCTTCCTAAAGCCACACACACACCTTCGTAAAGCCACACACACACACCTTCGTAAAGCCACACACACACACCTTCGTAAAGCCACACACACACACCTTCGTAAAGCCACCACACACACCTTCCTAAAGCCACACACACAAACCTTCGTAAAGCCACACACACACACACCTTCGTAAAGCCACCACACACACCTTCCTAAAGCCACACACACACACCTTCCTAAAGCCACACACACAAACCTTCGTAAAGCCACACACACACACCTTCGTAAAGCCACACACACACACCTTCCTAAAGCCACACACAAAAACCTTCGTAAAGCCACCACACACACCTTCCTAAAGCCACACACACACACCTTCGTAAAGCCACACACACACACACCTTCGTAAAGACACCACACACACCTTCCTAAAGCCACACACACAAACCTTCGTAAAGCCACACACACACACACCTTTGTAAAACCACACACACACACACCTTTGTAAAACCACACACACACACACCTTCGTAAAGCCACACACAAACCTTCGTAAAGCCACACACACACCTACGTAAAACCACACACACACACACACACACCTACGTAAAGCCTCACACACACACCTACGTAAAACCATACAAACACACACCTTCGTAAAGCCACACACACACACACCTTCGTAAAGCCACCACACACACCTTCCTAAAACCACACACACACACCTTAGTAAAGCACACACCTCCGTAAAGCCATACACACCTACACCTACGTAAAACCACACACACACACCTTAGTAAAGCACACACCTCCGTAAAGCCATACACACCTACACCTACGTAAAACCACACACACACACACCTTCGTAAAGCCACCCATACACACACTTTCGCAAACCCACACAAACACCTTTGTAAAGCCACACGTACGCCTTTGTAAAGACACACACAAACCTGTGTAAATTCATCTACACATATGATTTCATAAAACCACACATACAGACATAACTTCTTTCAGCAATACAACGACGTATTCTTGCGTATAGGCCTATATCCAACCATACAGCCATTACACACGTGGTAAGGCTACATACACATATAACACTCGCACAAAAACAACAGAATATCCATCAAACTAACAGGTTAAAAACCCCATTGGCAACAAATCAATCGCTTCAACACTCTCCCTATCCAGCAGGCAACAGCCCAGCCAGACCTACCAATGTAGTAAGACATCTTGAAGATTTCACTGATTTCAACGACAGCTTCCTTCTCTCCCGGATCTTTAGAGGACGAGACTCGCAGGCGAAACTTGTAATCTATGGCATCGTAAGTGGCGGTGGGGATGGAGAGAATGGCCTTCATCTGATTGGCTAGATTGATGCAATTGCACATGACGTTGGTCGCGTCCGTCACAACTGCTTCGTCTTTGCTGCAGGTTAGCATATGACAGTCTGATGGGAACACGCATGCCTACACGCAGGGAGATAGGGAACATTGTATACAATAATTAAGGACTTAGCATTAGTATGTTTTACTAAATGTAAGCTCTTTAAAAAATGATAAAGACAAAAAGTAAGAACAGAAAACACCCAATTTGAACAAACATTCATCACACATTTGATCTCACACATCAACCCAGAAATATAACCCAACAAGTCTTACTTAACATATCTAACTTCTCACACAATACATCTCACCCCTGACCCGACACCCCTCACCCCTCCCCTAGATAACGCCCCAATACAATCCCCCTCCCCTATTCCACCACCCCACCGTGTATACGACAGACTAATCCCTCAATATTAAATGAAGAAAATCTATTGATTAATGGCAAATGAATGTAATACACTCTTGATTCCCTTTATTGTAAAAATAAAATATTAATCCTAAAACAAAAGTATGTTTAATAAATAGTGTTGCATTTTTTTATAAACTCAAATGAACAAACTTGACATTTTTATATGTGAATTGTTTAAAGCGCTGAAGTGGAACCCGCCTGGAAAGCGCAAGAGAGGAAGACCACTGGGAACATGGAGGAGAGAGATGGAAGAAGAAGTGCAGGCTACTGGCAAGACCTGGCATGAACTAAAGTGGCTCGCCCAAGACAGGGTGGAATGGCGGAGATTTGTTGCTGTCCTATACTCCACAGGGAGTGATGAGGATTAAGTAAAGTAAGTTTGAAGTAGCCAATGGAACTCTAGGATTAAACAATATTCCACACTGCAAAATAACAAACAATTTTCACGATGCGTAACCATGAAAAAAATCGAACACCAATCGGGTATGAATTCTCCAACAGAACACGTCAACCCAGAGGCGTAGCGATGGGGGGGGGGGTGCGGACCGCATCGGGTGACACCATTTGGGGGGGTGACACCAAGGCAAAAAAATAGCAAAATATATAGAGAAAAACTTGAGGGGAGGGGTGCAAATCGAAAGCTGAAAGGGGGGGGGGGGGGTGCAAATTGAAAGTTTGAGGGGGGGGGGATGAAAATCGAAAATTTGAAAGTTTGACCCCGGGGGAAGGGCCGCTACGCCTCTGGTGGGGGGGGGGGGGGTGACACCATTAAGTGCCGCACCGGGTGACACCCGACCTCGCTACGGCACTGCGTCAACTCACCACCGAGCGTGTTGTCGAACCTGCGCAACTTACCGTTAGCCACGACTCGAACTTGTAGCAGTCCGTCCAGCTGGCCTTACAATAGTCGAAGTAGAGGTGGTAGCAGCCTGTCTCCTTGTCCAGGGCGTTCAGGTCCACCTGGTAGGTCAGGAACACCGTGCTCAGCCCAAAGGCTAAGGAGTTGGAGTCCACGGGGTTCACCTGTAGGAGCTTCAGGGCGATGTTAGGGTGGTCGGGTAGCTCTTCGGGGGGGGGGGGGGGTAGGGGGAGAAAAAAAAATGTATCACTTGTTAAACAATATTTGGCCGCGTGAGATAATATGAGGCAGGTGGAGTAGAGTTCACCCGTTTCTGAGTCTAGACTCTGATGTAATAATTTTAACTCATGCGGTTTATAGTCCTTCGAGAAGATTCCGCGTCATTGTATGTCTTCGGTAACTTCTCCTTGCCTGGTTTGGGCGTGGCACTCAAACACTTTGCCGTTTTGAACCTGTCAGCTCAATCTCCGTTCACCAAGATTTGTACCATGTCTCTGCTTGTCTAGGAAACTCTACAGCTTTCTTATCCTCTTAGCAAAACTGTGCTCACATTTCCATGGTGTAGGTACATATGCCAGTAGTTTTACATACATGTCGCCAACCAGTGAAGGCGTAGATTTGTCGATTATTTGTTACACGAATGACCCCCCCCCCTCTCCACCTCAACGTCTGTGCCTATGGTTTCGCTGATCTGCTGCCAAGGGAAATAACTCCCCTCATCATATACATGTCTTCCTTCTATTGTTACAGAGGCCTCTCGATTATCGTTAGTTCTCAATACTTGTATCATCGCTTTGCTGATCGTAAGTTCTACACGCTGTGTGGTGAGATGCTGATCGTAAGTTCTACTGTGTTGAGATGCTGATCGTAAGTTCTACACGCTGTGTGGTGAGATGCTGATCGTAAGTTCTACTGTGTTGAGATGCTGATCATAAGTTCTACACGCTGTGTGGTGAGATGCTGATCATAAGTTCTACACGCTGTGTGGTGAGATGCTGATCGTAAGTTCTACACGCTGTGTGGTGAGATGCTGATCATAATTTCTACACGCTGTGTGGTGAGATGCTGATCGTAAGTTCTACTGTGTTGAGATGCTGATCTTAAGTTCTACTGTGTTGAGATGCTGATCGAAAGTTCTACTGTGTTGTGATGCTGATCATAAGTTCTACACGCTGTGTGGTGAGATGCTGATCATAAGTTCTACACGCTGTGTGGTGAGATGCTGATCATAAGTTCTACACGCTGTGTGGTGAGATGCTGATCATAAGTTCTACACGCTGTGTGGTGAGATGCTGATCGTAAGTTCTACACGCTGTGTGGTGAGATGCTGATCATAAGTTCTACACGCTGTGTGGTGAGATGCTGATCGTAAGTTCTACACGCTGTGTGGTGAGGTGCTGATCGTACGTTCTACACGCTGTGTGGTGAGATGCTGATCGTAAGTTCTACACGCTGTGTGGTGAGATGCTGATCGTAAGTTCTACACGCTGTGTGGTGAGATGCTGATCGTAAGTTCTACACGCTGTGTGGTGAGATGCTGATCGTAAGTTCTACACGCTGTGTGGTGAGATGCTGATCGTAAGTTCTACACGCTGTGTGGTGAGATGCTGATCGTAAGTTCTACACGCTGTGTGGTGAGATGCTGATCGTAAGTTCTACACGCTGTGTGGTGAGATGCTGATCGTAAGTTCTACACGCTGTGTGGTGAGATGCTGATCGTAAGTTCTACACGCTGTGTGGTGAGATGCTGATCGTAAGTTCTACACGCTGTGTGGTGAGATGCTGATCGTAAGTTCTACACGCTGTGTGGTGAGATGCTGATCGTAAGTTCTACACGCTGTGTGGTGAGATGCTGATCGTAAGTTCTACACGCTGTGTGGTAAGATGCTGATCGTAAGTTCTACACGCTGTTTAGTGAGATGCTGATCGTAAGTTCTACACGCTGTGTGGTGAGATGCTGATCGTAAGTTCTACACGCTGTGTGGTGAGATGCTGATCGTAAGTTCTACACGCTGTGTGGTGAGATGCTGATCGTAAGTTCTACACGCTGTGTGGTGAGATGCTGATCATAAGTTCTACACGCTGTGTGGTGAGATGCTGATCGTAAGTTCTACACGCTGTGTGGTGAGATGCTGATCATAAGTTCTACACGCTGTGTGGTGAGATGCTGATCGTAAGTTCTACACGCTGTGTGGTGAGATGCTGATCGTAAGTTCTACACGCTGTGTGGTGAGATGCTGATCGTAAGTTCTACACGCTGTGTGGTGAGATGCTGATCATAAGTTCTACACGCTGTGTGGTAAGATGCTGATCGTAAGTTCTACACGCTGTTTAGTGAGATGCTGATCGTAAGTTCTACACGCTGTGTGGTGAGATGCTGATCGTAAGTTCTACACGCTGTGTGGTGAGATGCTGATCGTAAGTTCTACACGCTGTGTGGTGAGATGCTGATCGTAAGTTCTACACGCTGTGTGGTGAGATGCTGATCATAAGTTCTACACGCTGTGTGGTGAGATGCTGATCGTAAGTTCTACACGCTGTGTGGTGAGATGCTGATCATAAGTTCTACACGCTGTGTGGTGAGATGCTGATCGTAAGTTCTACACGCTGTGTGGTGAGATGCTGATCGTAAGTTCTACACGCTGTGTGGTGAGATGCTGATCGTAAGTTCTACACGCTGTGTGGTGAGATGCTGATCGTAAGTTCTACACGCTGTGTGGTAAGATGCTGATCGTAAGTTCTACACGCTGTTTAGTGAGATGCTGATCATAAGTTCTACACGCTGTGTGGTAAGATGCTGATCGTAAGTTCTACACGCTGTTTAGTGAGATGCTGATCGTAAGTTCTACACGCTGTGTGGTGAGATGCTGATCATAAGTTCTACACGCTGTGTGGTGAGATGCTGATCATAAGTTCTACACGCTGTGTGGTGAGATGCTGATCGTAAGTTCTACACGCTGTGTGGTGAGATGCTGATCGTAAGTTCTACACGCTGTGTGGTGAGATGCTGATCGTAAGTTCTACACGCTGTTTAGTGAGATGCTGATCATAAGTTCTACACGCTGTGTGGTAAGATGCTGATCGTAAGTTCTACACGCTGTGTGGTGAGATGCTGATCGTAAGTTCTACACGCTGTGTGGTGAGATGCTGATCGTAAGTTCTACACGCTGTGTGGTGAGATGCTGATCGTAAGTTCTACACGCTGTGTGGTGAGATGCTGATCGTAAGTTCTACACGCTGTGTGGTGAGATGCTGATCGTAAGTTCTACACGCTGTGTGGTGAGATGCTGATCGTAAGTTCTACACGCTGTGTGGTGAGATGCTGATCGTAAGTTCTACACGCTGTGTGGTGAGATGCTGATCGTAAGTTCTACACGCTGTGTGGTGAGATGCTGATCGTAAGTTCTACACGCTGTGTGGTGAGATGCTGATCGTAAGTTCTACACGCTGTGTGGTGAGATGCTGATCGTAAGTTCTACACGCTGTGTGGTGAGATGCTGATCATAAGTTCTACACGCTGTGTGGTGAGATGCTGATCGTAAGTTCTACACGCTGTGTGGTGAGATGCTGATCGTAAGTTCTACACGCTGTGTGGTGAGACGCTGATCGTACGTTCTACACGCTGTGTGGTGAGATGCTGATCGTAAGTTCTACACGCTGTGTGGTGAGATGCTGATCGTACGTTCTACACGCTGTGTGGTGAGATGCTGATCGTAAGTTCTACACGCTGTGTGGTGAGATGCTGATCGTAAGTTCTACACGCTGTGTGGTGAGATGCTGATCGTAAATTCTACACGCTGTGTGGTGAGACGCTGATCGTACGTTCTACACGCTGTGTGGTGAGATGCTGATCGTAAGTTCTACACGCTGTGTGGTGAGATGCTGATCGTACGTTCTACACGCTGTGTGGTGAGATGGCTTCCGTCGCATCAACTGCATCTGACGTTGTGACTGCAGGGCGGTGTTTCTTTCAGACATTTTTCTCCGCAGGTGGGCAATTATAAATTTAAGACTTTATTTTCTGGGGTACGGGAAAGGGAGGGGGGTGGGGGTGGGGGGAGAAGAGGGGTATATACCATCCACAAGATCTAGATTCCCTAACACCATACACAAGTTCTAGATTCCCTAAGACCATCCACAAGTTCTAGATTCCCTAAGACCATCCACAAGTTCTAGATTCCCTAAGACCATCCACAAGTTCTAGATTCCCTAAGACCATCCACAAGGTCTAGATTTTATAAGACCATCCACAAGTTCTAGATTCCCTAAGACCATCCACAAGTTCTAGATTCCCTAAGACCATCCACAAGTTCTAGATTCCCTAAGGTTATCCACAAATTCTAGTTTTCTAATAAGATCATCCACAAATTCTAGATTACCTAAGACCATTCACAAGTTCTAGATTCCCTAAGGTTATCCACAAATTCTAGATTTCTTAAGACCATCCACAAATTCTAGATTCCCTAAGACCATCCACTAGTTCTAGATTCCCTAAGATCGTCCATAAATTCTAAATTCCCTAAGCGTACTGTGTGAAGTTGGCCCAGAGAATCAAACCCAACACTTTCTGCTAGCAGCCTTATGCTAGAACCTAGATTTTCGTCAAACGTTGATTAAATGTTAAATTGTAAAGCCATCCATATAAATAAGACCACAGCTTATACGTATAAACACATTACGGTGACATTCTGACGATCGCTTCTTCACCAGACACCAAATAAAAAAGTAAATAGACATCAGTTATCAAAACAAACACACGCACTATACTCCACTCTTAATAACCTACACAACTCTTAGAAATATGAACAGTTTAAAGTCATATATAAAACATTTTGACCCCCCCCCCTCCACCCCCAAGAAATAATCTAGTAAAATGTCGAGTATTACCTCCATAACAATTGGACTTCTCGGCTGCTTCATCATTGGAAATAGCCTTGGCTACGTCGGCAAACCACTTCTCTTTGTCGCACCAGATCTTTGTCAATCTGTTCATTTCGCAGTTGACTATGGGTTGATAAAATCTAAAATTGAAATGTGTACTCTTCAAACAAAGGGACAGAGTGGTCTATCGGTAGAGAGCTGGGCTGCTAACCCGTTAGTATTGAGGTCGAATCCGGGTTAAAACAAGTAGGCCGTCCCTGAGTCCACCCAACTTACTTTAGGGAAAGTAAAGGCGGCTTGGCATAGTGCTGACCACATTATCCCTTCATAAGCCGAGGTCACAGAAACAAGTAAACTCTACTTCACTTGCCCCGTAGACCGTTGGGTTTGAAAGGAAGTTTACACTTAAAACAACGTTTAGACCGTCCTTATACAAAAAAATACAACATTTCAATTGTAGATGCAGACCTATCATAGAAGTGTGGTGTAAGCGCGGATAATATAAAAAAAGTGTAGATTATTTATCAAATAGTTTCATAGTCGTAAAAATATTTTCTCAGACAAAAATTAAAACGTAAACACTTTTCTCCAAAACAGACCAGTCCTTCAAGTGTCAAATTAAGGGTTTGATATATATATATATCTATATCTATCTATATATATCTATATATATATATATATATATATATATATATATATATATATATATATATATATATATATATAAAGAAAATATATTTTAGATATAATTAACCTCGATAAATGAGTTTGATCAAATGGTCAGCTTTATGCTCAGCCCCGAGTTAGCTCAGCTCTGACGTCAGGGAAGGTAAAGGCGGCTGGGCATAGTGATGACCACACTATTCCGTTTCCGAGGTCACTGAAACAGGTGAACTCTACTTCACCTGCGGGGTCGGCGTGGTCGAGTCGGTAAAGCTCATGGTTGCTAAACCGAAAAGTCTCAAGTTCAAACCCTCGTTAGCTTGCTCTCTTCTAGGAGAGACAACTCCAAAATCAAACAACTGCGTCTTTGTAGTTTGTTCTTGGTTGGACAAAGGCTATGGAAGCAAATCCAAAAAGAAAAGCAGGCTGAAATCGGAGTCAATGGCCTCAATGGCGCATAACCAGTTGACACTTAATCCTTAATTGTGATGGAAGCATGGTCGAGTCGGCAAAGCTCATGGTTGATAAATTCGAAAAAAAGTCTCGAGTTCAAACCCTCTGGCAGATAAGGCCACATAGACCGTGAGTTTTGATAGGGCACTTTACTTTGTCCTTCAAACAAGCCATTTCATAGCTCAATTGGTGATCACAAATACTGCATTATCATTTTCCCAACATTTCGAAACCAATTGCAATTGACTTACTCGCATTCTGTGGCATTATTCGTTTCATTATTCTGACAGGATGGGGGTACTTCAACACAAGCTACAGGCAAAAAATAAAAGTACAGAGAGCTGGCTGAAATAGAGGCTGTACAAGTGTAGCTGGAATTGTTTCAATCAGTGGTATCAGCACTAGTTTATTTTAGTATATTTTATAAATGGTACATTTCTCAAGTCCTCAATCGTTTTAAATTATTTTTTAAAAGAAGATAAAAACGTTATTTTCAAAAATCTCGGTAAAAGAAAATGTAAAATCATAATTTGTGCGTGTCATGTACAGTAATATTTGTGTTACACACGTGACACAAAGTTAGCTGACTCCAACATTCATTACTTTCATTGTCATCAATAGCCAGTCAGACCCAATGAATGCAGAATTTACTTCATTACTTTCATTGTCATCAATAGCCAGTCAGACCCAATGAATGCAGAATTTACTTCATTACTTTCATTGTCATTAAAAGCCAGTCAGACCCAACGAATGCAGAATTTACTTCATTACTTTCATTGTCATTAATAGCCAGTCAGACCCAATGAACACAGAATTTACTTCATTACTTTCATTGTCATCAATAGCCAGTCCGACCCAATGAATGCAGAATTTACTTCATTACTTTCATTGTCATTAATAGCCAGTCAGACCCAACGAATGCAGAATTTACTTCATTACTTTCATTATCATTAATAGACAGTCCGACCCAATGAATGCAGAATTTACTTCATTACTGTCATTGTCATCAATAGACAGTCCGACCCAATGAATGCAGAATTTACTTCATTACTTTCATTGTCATTAATAGCCAGTCAGACCCAACGAATGCAGAATTTACTTCATTACTTTCATTATCATTAATAGACAGTCCGACCCAATGAATGCAGAATTTACTTCATTACTTTCATTGTCATCAATAGACAGTCAGACCCAATACATGCAGAACTTACTATGTTTGTCCTAATTTTTATTTATTTCATTTAAGAATCCAAAAATATTTAAAATTGGAACATTCTCTATAATAGTGAAATATTTGCCTTTTATTCATCAAATTGACGAATTAACGGTTTAGTTTTATGACAAATAGCCCTACAAGTAAGCTAAAAGGTCGCCTATCCTTGGACCTGTAAAGTCACACATAATTTACAGGTTGCCTATAAAAGCACAAATCTATTGATTCAAGTCACATATCAAGTTAACTTTAAAGTCATCTCAAGTCAACAATAAAAAAAAGCATAACCTGAATTTAGTGCTAACACAAGTTTGTAAACTTATTTTCTGTTGAGACTAACACAATTATACAAACTTACTTTCTGTTGAGACTAAAACAATTATACAAACTTACGTTCTGTTGAGACTAAAACAATTATACAAACTTACGTTCTGTTGAGACTAAAACAATTATACAAACTTACGTTCTGTTGAGACAATTTTGTAAACTTACGTTCTGTTTAGACAATTTTGTAAACTTACGTTCTGATAATGATGCATCATTAGCTGTAAAATGTTAATACAACACCGTTACAAAACGCTGATGCAAAAATATCAAAGAAAACAACGATAAAAGTAAAAATGAGAAAAGAACAATAGCTGGAGCTGAAATTTGGAAAATCATGTTTGAATGAAGGTGTTTGAAATATGACTAAATTTTAGCGTAAGTAGTATAGTATAGGTAGGCTATTATATGTAATAAATGAAGTACCTGCGCAATCTTCTATCGCATGCTTCTCAATCCATTCCTCCGCATCTTTCCTGACCCCTTCACTGCAGTAGGGCGTGTCCTTATAGCCCAGGGCACACTTATGCCGCTCTTTTAACTTCCTGCAATAGACGATAGGTAACAGTAGTTAGATAGGGCTCTCAGACAACTGTCTATCTGGGCTCTCAGACATCTGGCTATCTGGGCTCTCAATTTTCTATCTGGGCTCTCAGACATCTGGCTATCTGGGCTCTCAATTTTCTATCTGGGCTCTCAGACATCTGTCTATCTGGGCTCTCAGACATCTGTCTATCTGGGCTCTCAGACATCTGTCTATCTGGGCTCTCAGACATCTGTCTCTCTGGGCTCTCATACAAATGGCTCTCAGGGCCCTCATACAAATGGCTCTCAGGGTCCTTAGACAACTGGCTCTTAGGGCTTTCAGGGCTCTTCTAACTTACTCGCAGGAAATCGTCGTGTTTGCTTCTTTTAAACAAAGAGTTCGGGCCTCCTTGCAACTGTCCACTGAAAAGATGGAGAAAAATGTGCAATCTATTGTTACGATAGACAAAGATGGGGACATAGACTACTTCAACGTATTAGGCTTACATAATGATTTAACTGTTTTCAAATTTGATAGAGCATATATATATATATATATATATATATATATATATATATATATATATATATATATATATATATATATTTATTTATTTAGATATATTCATTTATTTATATATGCATAATGTAGTATAAAAGCGAGATAAACACACTTTAAAGTGACCAGTAAGAAGTGCTCAACCTTTTGCAATAAAAATGTGAGTGGGTGGGGGATCGTATAAAAACATTGTTGTTACATATTTTCTCTGATGTGCAACCATGTTAATGATAGAAACAAACTCCAAGTGCAGTAACGAATGGCCATTCACGACTTCCATCCCCTAGGAACCACCTTCTAAGCTCGCCTTGGTTTTCTTATTTTTATTTAATTATTTCCTTTCTGTATCTGAGAAACCCAGGATCGAAACGACACTTAAGACACACATTTTCTTTCAAAATGTGCCGTGCGGTTAATAAAGTCATTGACCCTGTATAGTGCTGTCTGTTTTACCCTCTGTCGCTTGGTGAGAGTAAAATAGAACCAACATCCTTGCTAAATTATCTGAGTTTGTTATCTTGAAATTCAACTTCACAATGTGTACGGCAAGTAATCAGCTTTTTGGATTATTCTAGCCTGAAGGTAAAAAGTAGACCGGTTTTTACTGCTAATTGGGCCAGCATATTTGCTCTAACCCTAACCATTGGGCCAGTATATTTGTTCTGCATTTATGGTTAACACTGTGAGAAAATTCAGAAATCCAAGTCTTCAATTTGTCATGTTAGTGTTCTTTAATTGACAGTGTATTGGCTAGTTTGCTAGTTCAGTCACCATCATCACCATCGTTCATGGGGATCCCTTGTGACGATTCCTCCAAGTTGGGCCCACGTCATTCCGACTGCTTCAACTTCACTAAATGCTTACCGTCTCCATGTTGGTTTTGGCCTACCTACTTTTGTTGGTTAGTTCATTCAACCAACAGTAAACTCTAAATGGTGAGAGCAGCCACTATTGTTTCAAGTCAGTTCTTGAAAGGCATCTGATAGAGCCACTATTGTTTCAAGTCAGTTCTTGAAAGGCATCTCATAGAGCCACTACTGTTTCAAGTCAGTTCTTGAAAGGCATCTGATAGATAGAGCCACTATTGTTTCAAGTCAGTTCTTGAAAGGCTTCTGATAGACCCACCATTGTTTCAAGTCAGTTCTTGAAAGGCATCTGATAGATAGAGCCACTACTGTTTCAAGTCAGTTCTTGAAAGGCTTCTGATAGACCCACCATTGTTTCAAGTCAGTTCTTGAAAGGCATCTGATAGATAGAGCCACTACTGTTTCAAGTCAGTTCTTGAAAGGCTTCTGATAGAGCCACTATTGTTTCAAACCAGCTAGCTCTTGAAACGCTTCCATTGTGTACGACCCGGAGCTTTGAGTTGGACAAGTTAAATAAATATGTTCAAGACTCCATTATGCTTGACGTTTCCATATTACTGCTCTGTCTACGTAAGCATATGCAATTCAGAATCTAGAAAAACTGCACATAATGACGAGTTCATTCTAGGTTTTGTTCTAAGATAATTCTTAGTGTTGCTAATATAATGATGGGGAGTGGTGGGGGACGGGTCATCTATGAAGAGAAGCCTAATTTTTAAATTCCCTTTTTGCTGCAGAGAAATTCCTTTTAAATAAAAAAAAAATGGTTTTAAAAAAGAAATAAAGGAGGGGTGCTTTAATATTCCTTCTTCTTCTTCTTCGTTCTTAATTTTTAGTGTTGGAAGGGATCGAGCCTTATCTGCCAGAAGGTTTGAACTCGAGACTTTTTCGAATTTATCAACCATGAGCTTTTGCCGACTCGACCACGCCTCCGTCGCAAATTAAGGATACGTGTCAACTGGTTATGCGCCATTGAGGCCATTGACTCCGATTTCAGCCTGCTTTTCTTTTTGGATTTGCTTCCATAGCCTTTTTTCAACCAAGAACAAACTACAAGGCAGCAGTTGTTTGATTTTGGAGTTGTCTCTCCTAGAAGAGTGGCTGTCCCCAGCTAACGAGCCTCATCTCCCCGAGGGTTCGAACTCGAGACTTTTCCATGAGCTTTACCGTCTCGACCACGCCGACCCCTTTTAATATTCCGATTTGGTTGAACATCCCAAGGTTTTTCAAAACAAGTATAAACATATCCGGAATAAATTTAGTTTTAGTTGGCATTTAAGATACTGGGTATTATAGGGCAGGCAGGTTAAGTAGAGAGAATTTGTTTTAGCGTCTACAATTATTTAAAATTTGCCAAAATGTAAGGTAATTTTTTTATTTTACATACTGTTTTTGTCTTCATCGTAATCATCTGTTACCAGTTTGTCTGGGAATAAAAAACATAATATTATTCAACATTCTAATTAAAAACGTCTAGACCAGTGGTTCTTAACCTTTTTGGTGGTACCAAAACCCAACCCGTTTCATTTACACTTTCACCGAACCCTTCTTTATAGCTCTATCATCTGCACTGACAAATTCCGATCATGAATATATGAAACGGGGGTCAGGCTTGACCTCCGCCTAAACTCCGAGAATGGTTCACCGAACCCCTGGGGTTTGATCGAACCCAGATTAAGAACCACTGATAATTTTCATTTGTCAAAATCTTGATTTATATTTTTGTACACGATTACAATACATACTTTGTATTCCGTATACGAAAAATTAATGTTCCCTTTTCAAACCTGACGGTCCATGGGGTAAGTGTAGTAGAGTTCACTTGTTTTTGTGACCTAGGCATATAAAGGGATAGTGTGGTCAGCGCTATGGCCAGTCGAAATTTCTCTAAATGAGTTAGGTACCCAACACAGACGAGTGGACTCATGTCGGTCTACTGTCTTGAGCCCGGAATCGAACTAGACATTTTTGGGTTAGCAGTCTAGCACTCTACCACTAACCGCTCTTGTATACGTTACAGTAGTGGGGTGTTAAAGGCGAAAACTGTAAAATATCTGAAAATTATCAAGCACGATTACGATATTTCCTCTATACTCTTAATACGCGAAAGTAAAACTTGAATTAAGCAGGTTAAACTAATGGAGAATAAACAACAAATAAAACTTACCAGGATTTATTGTGTCCCAGCCACCTACAATATAAAGAGATATTTGATATAGAGAGTGGTTATATTATTGAGCAGGCCTATAGGGTCAATTAGATTAGCTAAATGATTGATTATAGGCAGGGGCGTAGCGAGGGGGGGGGCGGGGGGTGCGGACCGCACCGGGTGACACCATTTAGGGGGTGACACCAAGGCAAAAAATAGCAAAATATATAGAGAAAAACTTGAGGGGGGGGGTGCAAATCGAAAGTTTGAGGGGGGGGGTGCAAATCGAAAACTTGAGGGGGGGGGGGGGGGGTGCAAATCGAAAGTTTGAGGGGGGGGGTGCAAATCGAAAACTTGAAAGTTTGTCCCCGGGAAGGGTCGCAACGCCTCTGGGGGGGTGACACCATTAAGTGCCGCACCGGGTGACACCCGACCTCGCTACGCCACTGATTATAGGGTTTATTTGAGTGGCTAAATGATTGAGTATAGGGTCTATTAGACTTGCTAAATGATTGAGTATAGGGTCTATTAGAGTGACTAAATGATTGAATATAGGGTATAAAAGAGTTGCTAAAAGATTGAGTATAGGGTTTATTTGAGTGGCTAAATGATTGAGTATAGGGTCTATTAGAGTGGCTACTGATTGAGTAGATGTGCGTACATTGGGTGGATGTAAGCGTACAGAAGGTGGACGTGTGCGTACAGTGGGTGGACGTGTCAGGTACAGTTGGTGGACGTGTGCGTACAGTTGGTGGACGTGTCCGGTACAGTTGGTAGACGTGTGCGTACAGTTGGTGGACGTGCATGTACAGTTGGTGGACGTGTGCGTACAGTTGGTGGACGTGTGCGTACAGTTGGTGGACGTGTGCGTACAGTTGTGGACGTGTCCGGTACAGTTGGTGGACGTGTCCGGTACAGTTGGTGGACGTGTGCGTACAGTTGGTGGACGTGTGCGTACAGTTGGTGGACGTGTGCGTACAGTTGGTGGACGTGTGCGTACAGTTGGTGGACGTGTGCGTACAGTTGGTGGACGTGTGTGTATAGTTGGTGGACGTGTCTGGTACAGTTGGTGGACGTGTCCGGTACAGTTGGTGGAGTGTGCGTACAGTTGGTGGACGTGTGCGTACAGTGGGTTGACGTGTCAGGTACAAATCTCACCTTTGCAGCGACTTTTTAACGTAGAATCCCTAAAAGATTTGGCTTCCTCGCGCAACTTATCTGGACAGCTTGGGTTTTTTATAATATCTGTTAGACATCTGTGGTAACGAGACTTTTTTCTGAATTAGAAATTATTAATACTAATAGTTTCGCTGTCTGTGTATCTATCTGTGTATCTATGTATCTGACAAGAACGCTCTAGAGAAAACACAAGCAAATTAAAAACCTTCACAGTTAAACAAAATATATGACGTCACATTGAGCATAGAGTAGAAAATAATCTCAAGCCGGAGAGTGCACACAGTAATATGGCGTCATTGATTCTCGAGTAAACATTGAATAAAAAGGCATTTTTTTCTAATCTAAGTGGTTTGCGTGAAGAGTTTCTTTCATACAATTCTTCGGGTAGGGGCGAAGCCCCACCTCCGCGTAAGAACGTCTGAGCCCCCCCCCCCCCTCCCCAACTCAAAAGAAATTTCCTCATCGATACTCTATAATAAGATTATCGCCTAATTAATGTGTCTAATCTAAAAAGTGGTTTTCTTGCAATTTCTTTAATGTAATTCTTCGCGTAGTGGCTAAGCGCGACACCAGTGTTTCTTTCAGACTTTTTCCTCCCCGGAGGGGGGATCTTTTTCTAATCTAAAAAGCGTTTAGCGTGCAGGTTTTTTTTTCAAGCATATCTTCCGGTAGGGGCGAAGCCCCGCCCAGATTCTTCCTTTAGTTTGTATGATCTACAAATGCGACCAGTGTTTCTTTCAGACTTTTTCCTCCCCGGAGAGGGGTGGGGGTACTTGAAATTTTCGGGGGCGGGGGTAGAATTTTCTGGGAGGGTGCGGACACTGGAAAAAGTATATAATTATATTTCGTTGAATGGGACAGTAGTCATGTTTTGGAGGTTGTGTGTGTGTGGGGGGGGGGGGGGGGGCGAAGCCCTCTCCTCCCAAGTAGAGTTGCCTGAAAGATACTCTAAATGCGACTTTTTCATGAATGAGATTAGGTGCATGGTTTAGGGATATGCCTATGACTATATTTTGTATAAATTAAAGTACCGAGAAAATAGAAAGCACTATCAACCTAGCGCCCGTTGTATCCTTTCTCAACGGGCCATTTTTCTCGTTAATACTAATAGTTTCGCTGTTTGTGTATCTATCTGTCTATGTATCTGACAAGAACGCTCTAGAGAAAACATAAGCAATTTAAAAACATGCACAGTCAGACGGAAACGAAATATGACGTCATATAGTAGAAAATAATATCAAGCCGGAGAGTGCACACAGTAATATGACGTCATTGATTCTCGAGTAAACATTGAATAAAAAGGCAATTTTGTCTAATCTAAGTGGTTTGCGTGAAGAGTTTCTTTCATACAATTCTTCGGGTAGGGGCGAAGCCCCACCCCCGCGTAAGAACGTCTGAGCCCCCCCCCCCTCCCCAACTCAAAAGAAATTTCTTCATTGATACTGTATAATAAAATTACCGCCTAATTAATGTATCTAATCTAAAAAGTGGTTTTCTTGCAATTTCTTTAATGCAATTCTTTGGGTAGTGGCTAAGCGCGACACCAGTGTTTCTTTCAGACTTTTTCCTCCCCGGAGGGGGGAACTTTTTCTAATCTAAAAAGTGTTTAGCGTGCAGTTTTTTTTTCAAGCATCTCTTCCGGTAGGGGCGAAGCCCCGCCCATATTCTTCCTTTAGTTTGTATGATCTACAAATGCGATCAGTGTTTCTTTCAGACTTTTTCCTCCCCGGAGAGGGGTGGGGGGTACTTGAAATTTTCGGGGGCGGGGGTTAGAATTTTCTGGGAGGGGGCGGACACTGGAAAAAGTATATAATTATATTTCGTTGAATGGGACGGTAGACATGTTTTGGTGTGTGGGGGGCGGGGGGGGGGGGGGGGGGGGGGGAGGGGGGGGGGGGCAAAGCCCCCTCCTCCCAAGTAGAGTTGCCTGAAAGAAACTCTAAATGCAAGTTTTGTCATGAATGAGATTAGGTGCATGGTTTAGGGATATGCCTATGATTATATTTTGTATAAATTAAAGTACCGAGAAAATAGACAACACTATCAACCTAGCGCCCGTTGTATCCTTCCTCAACGGGCCATTTTTCTCGTTATTTAATAGTTATAGATTATTAATTAAGTAGATAATTTATCGATAAACAAATGCGTCATTGTTGCATTATAAATAGAGAACAGATTAGCTTCACTGCGCAGTAAAAGAATAATGCAAATTGATTTTCTTGGCTTTTAAATACGTTTTTTTTTTTAAATTTAAATACATTAAAAGGCATATGAGTTGGTAACGAATATCCTGTTTTTTACACGTTGATCAGACATTTTTTGTAGTACCAGTGATATAGATCCATATATAATTAAATGTAGGCTGAAACATGACGGGGATATTTATAGATAGATATTTATATAAAATAAACCGGGAGTGATCTCCCCTAAACTTTCTCGAATATTCTTATATAAAACAACAGGGGATGGGAACTCGGGCTATAGACATGATTTTTAATCCAATTTAAATACTTAAAGTTTTAAAAATAGAATAAAATCTCGTAGACAAAAGAATTACACACCAAGTGAACGCCAAATAAAAAAAAGTGCATAATAGTGCGCAATATTATTAGTACTTTAAAAATTTACATTAGTTTTTTGAGAAATCGAAAGTAGCGTAAATTACTACTTCCGGTCAATGGAAATTACTCAAAATTTAACTGAAAGTAGAGAATTAGATCTTTTACTTACATGTGAAATTTTATTTATCTATCTGAAATAGTTCGCAAGTTATAGGCTTTTGAAAAATTCAAAGTAGAAAAAGTACCACTTCCGGTTATCGGAAATCGCTCAAAATTTGATACGGAACTACGAATTTGAAAAATACTTATATATGAAATTTCATCAACCTAGCTGTAACGGTACTCAAGTTATCGTGTTTACACACGGACAGACAGACAGACAGACAGACACACAGACATACGGACAGAATTGCAAAGCCCAGTTTTTCAGACTGGATTACGCATAAAACCTCTTAATTTTGATAAATCTGGATTGATAATTTTTGCCCGATTAAAATAAGTCTTCTATACTTCGGATGTGATGAAGGACTGAGGTGTAATACGGGTGAAAATTGTTAAAATTTCAAGTGATTTTTGTGCACGATTACAATACTTTCTCTATACTTCGTATATACGAGAAAGTAAAAAACATTAATATGTATTTTTAAAAAATAAATGAAAACTCTCTACAAAACACCCAATCATCAATTGATTAATAAATTAAGTTTTTCGGAATTTAAAAACTGGAGTGAGACGTATTGTATTAATCTGAAAATAAATTATTTCTTAATATATGAAAAAGATTTAAAAGACTTACGTGCAAGTGAAGTCAGCCTCTTGGACGCAGTAATTGCAGAGTTCCATCACCCAGACAGGTTTCCTCTGGAAGGAAAAGTACACATTAGATACACTCAACGATAGGACGTGGAATAAACCATATATCCACATACAAGAGGAAGTGTGTATTTCTCTCTGACGAGGGAGGTTCATTATATCACATTCTGTGTTGGCAATGCAATACCATCGAATCTTAACTTACATCTAAGTTTGAAAGAAATCGGTTCGATGAGGTCGAAGTAATATTTTTTGAGGTCGGAAGAAATAGCGCAAACTAAATACTTCCCTTCACCAGAAATCACTCAAAAAATTTAAAAAAAATCAGTTTTCGTTTACATACCTGAAACGGTACTTATGTTATCGGTATTTTAGAAACCGGAAATAGAGTAAAATATCACTTCAAGATATCCAATGTCACTCACATTTTGAGTGTAATCAAAGCATTAAATCAATTAAATATATATTTAAAATTTCATTCACATAACTGAAATAGTATTTGTTATAGTGGTTTCAACCGAAATAAAGTACAACTTCCTTTGACTGAATAATGTTGTATTTAAAATTTCGCACTTCTAGGTAAAAGGTACAGAACCGTAAGTATCACATAGGTTACCGCACTAAAAATTTGAAATAAAACTACAAGTTTTTTATATTAAAATTCGTCTAACAAATAAAGTAAATAGTCAATGCTAACATAATAGAGACACCACAACGAGTGCAACTTACGTGGATCTAGTCTTGGCCGAGTACCAACTATATCAATGTAAATATAAATAAAATGTAAACGTACATGTAAACATAATATATACACATATACATATACAAAGTATATATATATATATATATATATATATATATATATATATATATATATATATATAATATATATATATATATATATAAATACAGACACACACACACACATATATATATATGTATGTATGTATATATATATATATATATATATATATATATATATATATATATTATATATATATTAACAAGGTTCAGTTTCCGTTACTCAGTTTAGCAGAAAATAACACTATATATATATATATATATATATATATATATATATATATATAATATATATATATATATATATATATGGTGACAGGGGACAAATGATCTCAGGACAAATGATCTCAGACAAAATACGGACAAATGATCTCAGGACAAATGATCTTAGGACAAATGATCTCAAGGACAAATGATCTCACGGACAAAAGATACCAGGACAAAATATATCAGGACAAATGATACCAATAATAAACAAAACCATATGAAAATCATTTTTAAAAAATTCAGATCAACTAAAAGTATCCAATACACTATTAAACTTTAGGTGTGAGATATTTTGTCTGAGATATTTTGTCCGAGAGCAATTGTCCATGATATCATTTGTCTTGATATATTTTGTCCTGGTATCTTTTGTGCGTGAGAACATTTGTCCTTGAGATCATTTGTCCTGAGATCATTTTGTCCGTGAGATATTTTGTCTGAGATATTTTGTCTGAGATCATTTGTCCTGAGATCATTTGTCCTGAGATCATTTGTCATGGAACCATATATATATATATATATATATATATATATATATATATATATATATATATATATATAATATATATATATGTATATGTATATATGCATAGTAAATACACACAAAAACTATACATACAGCACGATGGGCAATATTTAATAAAATCTACAAAAAATCACATATACTTTCCAGTTTTAAAGGAAAAGCGACAGCATTTAATTTTTATCGAAGATGTACTTACCAGGATCTGGCGTAGTTTCCAAAGTTACCTCTTTAATTAAGCAGAAGAAGAAAGTTAATAGTTTAAAATTAAATAATCATATATATATATATATATATATATATATATCTAATATATAAAGCTCAATTCTGTAACGCATATGTTTTGTCGTTGGCATTTCTACGGATTTTAAAGTGTTTAGATCAATTATCGTGCGCGTTTGTCTAAATTTATGAGTTAAAAAATTACTATTAAAAGTGTTGGGAAATCTTTTTCATTTTTCAAATTATAGTAATAATTGTCGGCATGTTCATTAAACACAAGTTTTAAAAAAAAATATCATCTTTTACAAAAATTCTAATTATGTCTTTCTTTAGTCCTATAGCGCTTACTTCCCTTTGATAAATTAGGCAAACACAATTACTTCCCTTTATGAAACCATTGCATTAGTTGAAAAGCATTTACTTTTTAACACGTTTTTCTTAACTCAGCTTCGCGTTTGTTTGTTTGGTTGTTTGGATTGTTTGTTGTTAAAATTGACATCGAAAATTAGCCCACTTCTGATTGCTCTAGAGACCTGAAAATTGGCATGCATGCTACTTTCGCCTAACAATTTCAGATGCAATCATAAAAAACTAGCAATTAGTGACCGTAATTAGCTTAATTTAATTACGCCCCAAGGACCATAAAATTGAGGACATGATTTCTAAAGATACCGACAAGACTTGAGGCCTATTGACACAGTTACTTCGGCCCCAATCGATGTGAGCGCGCTGGCCGTGATCGTATAGTGGTTAGTACTTCGCGGTTGTGGCCGCGACAACCAAGGTTCGAATCCTGGTCGCTCAAGATTTTTAGTCCGTGTATTTATAAACACTTTTTTAAAAAAACCACGTTTTTCATGAGTAGCAACGGACTAAAAAGGAGAAAATAAAATACTTAAAAAAAATTTTTTAA